TATAAGGAAGTGGGCGTGGATTAATAAAAGGTCTACATACCATATATAATTACGTACTTAGGTTTCACTATCAAAACCATGCATGGATTATAATTATGGCTCTTTTAATTTTATATCTCTAATTAATTACTCTTATTATTTTTGTTTAATTTCTTTAAATGACGTTACGTTTTGGGTGATATATGTTTAATTTTTTAAGGGAGAACTATCAAATAAGTCCTCGAACTTTCATAAAAAGTGCAAATAAGCCTTTTTACAGGAGACTTTGTCGAGCTGTTGCCATTTGGGGCTGTTTCCATTGGAATTTTTTGATGAAATTTTTAGAGCATCTTCTTCATTAAGTCTAATTTACCCATATCAAATTTCAACTAAAAAAGCAATCGAGAAGGCAGTCAAATGATTTTCTGAAGTATACTGTGCTGCCTAATTGCGCAGTTATCTTAAAAAAAATTTGACTGCCTTCCCGATTGAATTTTTAGCTGAAATTAAGTATGAGTAAACTAGACTTAATGAAGAAGATGCTCTAAAAAATTCATCAAAAAATTCCACAGTAAACCGCCACAAATGACGACGGCCGGACAGAGCATCCTATAAAAGGGCTTATTTGCACTTTTTATAAAAGTTCGATGCCTTTGTAGTTTTCCCTTTCTTTAAGGATCATTGGCAATCATAAATACTTTTTTTGTGATATTTAGTTTGGATATATGATATAGGCATTATGAAATTCGTATGTACTCCCTAATAAAATATATTCCGATCCACTAAAAATGCACAATCGCAATGTTGGTGGACGAATTGAAATTTTAATTTCAAATTGGAATTGAACTGCTCAACTACATGTGTACATGTAATTTGTTTGAGTTATGTAATTTTCCAAAATTTTACTAGTATATAGTTATTTTCTGGGTGTCAATTTTCTTTTTAATTAATAGTTGTTCCAAAACGTTTCAATTTTCAATTAAAGTAACTAATTTAATTTGTGATTTTGCTCCTAATTCAAATCTCAGCTCATTCACACATTTTACTTTTATTTATTTATTTTTCACCTAACTTGGAGTTGGCAAAGTCCACCAGACGGGGTAACATGACTACACCGAACTAACTTGAAATGGCTAAAAAACTCAACCTAGCTCAGAAAAACACATCATTTAAAAGTTCGAAACTCTATATCTTCATTATTTTCCTTTTAACTACAAATGTTTATAGAGAATGTATACTGCCTTTTTGAATTAGAGAATAGTCTAGTGCATGCGTACAAATTTGGTTTGATTTGTCATGAATAAAGATAAAGATATCAAATCTTCTCAAATAGGATCACTATTATTTTTTATTACAATAATAAGATTCATATATTCGTCTTTAGACAAGTTTTTATGATGTTTTATTTGGACCAGATTTTTTCGATCTGATCTGGTCTGAACTGGTGAATTTATGATCTCTGTGTATTTTATAAATATTTAAATCTGATATGAGACTGAAAAAAATCCAAGTAAAAACATCCTTATTCATTTTTTAATATGACTGAATATGTCCTACAAGAAGTCAAGAAAATATATATCATATTTTAGAACTTTGTCCATGTTTTACTTTAATTTTGATTAATTTCTTGTAAGGATATCAATATCAAATTAAAACAAAGTTTCATTGGATTCAGTGTGATGCAATTTTAGTTTGCTAGAAATTTATTTGATGTTTAACGTTTAATCTTACTTTTATTTGTTTCTATCCGTTTCACTTCAATTTGTTTTGGATAAACATAATTGAATTGATTGTAATCCTCACAAACCTAGCACTATAATCTTTAACAAAAAATGTACTAACAGAGAAGATCATAAAAACAAAACAACATAATAACCGAATGAATCCACAGATTCTTTAAACATGAACTTCTTGACTGAACTTCTTGACTGAACGTGATGAGCGCTTGTTCTGATCTTGTACTTATCCATTTGATGAAAATCAAGTACAATCTTCTAATCACAAGCATCTCATTCATTTCGTGGCGGTCCTTAATTAGGGGACGGGTCATCAATAACATCATTGAATTCTCAGTTTTAACTATTCCCTCCGTCTCTTAAAACTTTGTTATCTTTTTTTTGGGACGTCCCAAAAAACTTTCCCTTTTGATCAATTATTTTGTAGTTTTTGTTATTTCTCTTTCCTCTGCACAAATCTCAATCACACAGTTTTTACTTTATTATTCTCCGTGCCGGTCAACTTTGATAAAGTTTTAAGGGACGGAGGTAGTATAACATAATAGAGTTTACCCCAAGGGCTGTTCTGGGGCAGAGGCTATGACCATAGTGCATGATTAAAAATATTTGACAAAATAATGTTAGAGTTAACTCAAGTTAGAATAACCGCCAACCTGATTGGCGGTTTAGGCAATGTTCCACTCCGTATGTAGCAATGCAACGCACAAGAGGGAAAAAAGATTATAGGGTCCCATAAATAAAAAATATATCAAATTGATGACTTTTTATTATCTTTTATATGACATCAATATTCACTATATAAAAATAATAAGAAAAATTAGGCACTTTAAAAAAGTAATGTTTTTTAAGTGCCATCATTTTTTATGTGTACTCCAATCGCTACAAATTATCAAAATTTATAATTTTTTATTATCTTTGACATGACATTAATATAATATATATTAATATTAAAAAAATAACACTTTAAGAAAATTTGGTTTTTAAAGTGTTACTTCCTATAACTTTTATATTTATACTCCGATTGTTACAAATAATATATCCAAATTCATAATTTTTTTATTATCTTTCATATGATCGTAACATTGCATATACAAAAAAATTAAAACTAAAATCTATAAAAATCTATTAATCTGATTTAGAACATATATACCAAACCAGACTTAAAACAAATAATACCAAATTAATGGATTTTATATATGTTCTAAAATTATTAAATTTATAGTACTTTAAAAAACAAAAGTTCTTTAAGTATTAAATTATTATTTTTATTTGTATATATTTTTTTAAGTAATAAAATGAAAATGAATTGCTATATATGAAATTTTTTATATATGTAATATTGGTGTCATATGAAAAATAATAAAACATTGTAAATTTTGATATATTTTTTATTACAATCGGAACAAAAATAAAAAAATTATAACATTTTAAAAATAATTGGAGATTTTTTCTTTGTAGTGGGATGCAAGACTAGTTTCCCTCTTGTGCACTGCACTCCTACATACTCTTTTAATTTTGCCTAAGCCAACAATGTAGTTGGCCGTTCTCCAACTACTAGAGGTCTAGAGTTAATTGTAGAGTACTATGGTCTATGCGAAATACTTTTAACCACACACCAATTTGGGAATAGCATTATTTTGGGAAATACTGGTAATATGATGGGAAAATAATTAAAATACTCCAAACTTTGAAGAAGTGTAAGATAAACATCCGAACTGTTCTGGTGCGGTCGGGTGTCCGGATTTTGGCCACTTTCCCGATGGAATTTTTTGATGAAATTTTTATGGCATGTTCTTCATCAAGACTAGTTTATCCACAAAAAAGTTCAGCTCAAAATTCGATCTGGAAGGCCTTCAAAAGAGTTTTTGAAGTTGACTGTGTTTTTCTATGTATAATTTGGCGCAGTCAACTTCAAAAAATCATTTGAAGGCCTTCCACATTGAATTTTAAGCTGAAATGTTTGGTGCATAAACAAGAATTGATGAAGAACATGCCATAAAAATTTCATCAAAAAATTCTACCGGGAAGACGGCCAAAAGCCGTCGGCCGGACGGTCCCTCTGGTGCGGCCGGACGCACATGAATATTCCTCTGTAATTTAAATACCCCAAAATTTATATAAACAGTTATTTTAACACCATGATTATGTATTATTTCTTTCAAAAATGTCAATTTATACTGTTAAAACACCCGGCCTGCAATGACCCGTCCTGGCCCGAGACATTTGGGGCGGGTCTGGCCCACCCCGTCTTGCAAATGGGGCGGGTCCGCCCCGCCCCGCCTATACAATGGGGCGGGTCCGGGTATCAGTATTGACCCATGCCGCCCCGACCCGCTTAGTATATAAGTATATACATACTTTATCTTAAATTATACTACAAATATACTTCAACATACATATGTGTGTATATACAATAAATCATAAATTCTTTGATCTTATAATACACACACACACACAGACACACATACATACATACACACACACACACACACACACACACATATATATATATATATATATTAGATTGAGATGAACGGCGGATTATCAATGTCTTCTTTATATATAGCATTTTAATACATATATTCTAGTTTAATATAATTAAATATATTAACTATTCAAGTCTAAGTGATTTTTCCTTAACTTTTGAAATTTCTAGCGTATCATGAATTTGATTTAATATATTAATTTTTAATAATTATTTAAAGATAAACTTTATGTAGATTCAATTGGTAACAACTTCTCACAAATAAAAATACATACTAGCTAATTAGGTTACGCATGGGGCGGGTCATGGGTCAAGAAGTTTGGACCCGTGCAGGTCACGGGGTGGGGCGGACCCACCCCTTCAAGTCACAAGGCGGGTATGGGTCTTGCAATACTCGCCCCGTCCTGACCCGACCCATTGTCATGCCTAGTTAAATGCATAATTTAAAATAGCAATTTGAAAACATTAGAATTATATATAGTGGTGGGTAATACTATTTATTTTACAATGGAAGTTTAGAATGCTAATTGTATCTTTATGAATGCTAGAAATTATCAAATTATAAAATAAACAACAAAAATTAATATTTTTGAAAGAATAATATATGACCATGGTGCTAAAATAAATTTTTTATATAAAGTTTGAAGTATTTAAATTAAATATGCAAGTTTAGGGTGCTAATCTCACACCGTATCAAAGTTTAGGGTATTTTAATTATTTTTCCCTAATATGATTGAGTAGACTGATTTTTCAGCCTTAAATTACTTATTTTGTCCGGCCGAATCACCTAAAGGCCCAAGTAATACGGAAACAGACTAAAGGAGGTTAACAGACTAAAGCCCAAAGGAGGTTAACGAGTAACAACTTATTTTCTCGCTTGGCCGCCTTCCGCAGTTCCACTGCATGCCATTCGAATCCCTCATTCCTCAGGCCTCAAGCCTTCTTGTGCAGAGTTGCCTTCATCCCTTCACGACTTCACTGCCTGTCTGCCTTAGCCCTCAGCACTCAAGCCAATCAGCCTTCAGACTCTTCAGGTGAGTCCGGCCTCCTTTCTTACTTCCTTATTTCTTAATTTATACTTTTAGTAATTGATTCCATTCATGATTGATGATTCTGATTCTTGGTTGCTGATTTGTTTATACGAAGTAATAATTTAGCATATCCTAATTAATTGATTTGTTGGTTGTTGAGTATTCATAGATGTTTAGTTCATATTCATAATCCTTAATAGTTATGTATTCAATATTGGTATTATGATTTGTTGATTTTGTTAGTTGAATGTTTTCAAGGTGTAATAAAAATGGTAGAATTTCAGTATTATTACTCCGTATTATTATACATATTAGTTTAAGTGTCTGTTTGGTAACACAGAAATTGGCTGTATTAGCTAATTGGGCTTAAGTTTATGAAGTTTTGTCTGAAGTGGCTGTATTGGTTGATTCTACTGATTTATGAAAAAGTTATATTTAAAATATTTGTTATGAATAAATAAATTAAAATTATATGAAAAAATAGCTAAAATTATCCTCATCAGTAACTTCAACCAATACAATCAGAAAAATAACTCTAATCTTACTTTTTCTTATTATTACACAATTTAGCGCGCCAAATCTATAGTTACGTGTTTGGTGAAAAAACTGGCTGATAAGCCTGATAAGCCGAAAATAAGGGTCACCAAACGGACTATAAATCTATAATACTCCCCTAAGTTCAAGCTAATCACTCCCGGTGCAGATGAAGACGGTCTCTCCAGACTGTGACATGCTACCAGGCAGTGGTGAATAATAAAGTGAAGTTTTTGTCTTTGACTTTCTTATCATACCCTTCAAAAAGTAGATTACATGTATTGGAAGAGAGAGAGTGTGTAAAGTAGGTAATAAATAAAGTACTCCGTACGAGTATAAGAGTAACTTTATATTAAAAAATTACCAAAAATAGAAGTGTGAATTTTATTTTGGACCTGACCAAAAAGGAAAGTGTGAAGTTTATTTAGCACTGAAAGTAGTAATATATAGGAACAAGGTGGGGAACCTTTTTGGTTGTAAATCCCGCCCACTCAAGGGGTATTATTGGCATTTTTTGCAAAGTCCCGCCCAAATGAAAGAAGAGCTATTTATTTACAAAAATATGTCTGAAACTATTATGAATGTACTATTATGGTAACTTAGTAATTTCAGAAAAAATTGAACACAATTTAGTATGACTAAAGTTACTACTATTAGTTAGGGGTGGACCCGGTCCGGAACAAGGTCCAAAAAATCCAGTTCGGGCTCTGGACCACCATCAGTCCGTCCAAGCACGTTACTCGGCCCCGGTTCACCAATTTCTTTTTCTTTTTGGCTAGGAAACAAAGGGGAATGAAAAAAATAGAATGAGACCGGGTCCGGACCGGGAATGGGACTGGACCGCCCGGGTACCCAGAACCGACCAGGACTGGCCGGTCCAGGCCAAGATCGGGTCCACCCCTACTCTATTAGTCATAAAAAATGACCAAAGTTGATATGACATTAAAGTGACATATCTATTGATAATTTTTTTATTAGTACACTACACAGTGATGAGTGATCTCAATGTCGTCAAACTAATCATATGCTCTCAAACACTCATCCCAAACTTTCGAGAGATTTAACTATGAATCGTTCAAACTATTCATTAGAATCTAGAGTGTATTCTTCATTGGCATAGCCAATAAGGGTCATCCCATGCAATGCACGGGTAAAGAATCTAGTAGAAAAGTGTTTGGCAAATTTTTAGAGATCAAGTCCATTTTAAGTTAAGTTATAGGACCAGGCCTAATTTGTCCAAATCATTGGGTTGATAAGCCACCTGAAAGGAGACTCAATCGAGTACCAATTTCCTCCCATACAATTGTTGTTGACTAGAAAAACAAAAGCTCTGCACCCGATTGGCTATGCCAATGAAGAATACACTCTAGACATCGATAGGAAATAAATACGTCATATTAAATGGAAACACTATCATGAAAAACCTTCTATCATGTTGAGGAAAGAAATGGAGACAAAATAAGAAAAAGAGTTAGCGGCTAGGTTTAATACATGTTTGGCAAGCATAAGTCACTACTTTCCAGCTTTCATACTATTTAAAAAGTCTTTAAAATCTGATAGAACACTGGTAGTAATGAACTCAGAACAATCACAAATCTAAGGAAATATTAGCTAGAACAGGTCACACACTTTATTTAGAGAGAGAGAAAGTCGGTAAAGGTATACAGGGGTGGGACAGTTCAAGATGCCCAATCTCCAAGCTACCAGCCAAATGACAAAATAACAACCTGCCTTATTTTGTTCTCTACTTACTATTTATAGCTACTTGTCCACGCAGGGACCAACCCAACTAGCTATTATATAGTTAAGTAATAATACTACTTATTTCTCCTCTTGTACACCTTATTAAAGTACTGAATAGGCTGTGGCAGTCCCCCAAGCCTATCATTACTCCTCCCTGGAATTTCACCTTGTCCCCAAGGTGAAGATCTGGAAACTGTTCTGTCAATGACTGCAGTACTTCCCTTGAATCTTCAAATGGAGGTAAGTCTTTCCAGTGGACTAGGACTTCCATCTTTCCCTCCTTGTTCACCCTTGAGTCCAATACTTCTTCTGGTTTCACCTGTAGTTCCCACTCATCACTCAAACATGCTGGTAGAGGCTGAAATGCAGTGGTAGATGGTATAGCTTTCTTCAGGAGTGAGACATGAAATATTGGATGTACTTTACTGTCTGTAGGTAATTGAAGTTTAAAAGCTACCGGACTGATCTTCTCAATAATCTCAAAAGGGCCATAATATCTGGGACTTAGTTTCTGGTTGATTCTCCTGGCCAAACTCCTGAGCTTGTAAGGTTGTATTTTTAAATAGACCATATCTCCCACTGTCAAAAGCACCTCTCTCCTGTGCTTATTTGCCTGTTGTTTCATTTGATTTTGGGCTCTTTCCAAATTCTCCTTCAATTCTCTGAGCATCATGTTCCTTTGTGCAGTCATTTTGGAAACTTCTTCAACAGCTGTAATACTAGCATCCCCTCTAATCACTGTAGGAGGGTCCTGACCATATAGAGCTTTGTAGGGTGTCATTTTCAGGGATGCATGATAGTTGGTATTATACCAGAATTCTGCCCAAGCTAACCAATCAGCCCAATGTTTAGGTTTCTTGCCAGTAATGCACCTCGGGTAGGTTTCCAAGCATCTATTGACCACTTCTGTCTGTCCATCGGTTTGTGGGTGATAGGCTGTGCTGTATTTGAGTTTAGTTCCAGCTAATTTGAAGAGTTCAGACCAAAAGGTACTCATAAATATGCTATCCCTGTCACTCACAATAGTTTTGGGGAACCCATGCAACTTGACTACCTCTCTGATGAAAAGTTCAGCCACCTCTTTAGCATTAAATGGATGTGATAAAGCTAAGAAGTGAGCTGACTTAGTCAGTCTGTCCACAACCAACCATGATAGTATCTTTTCCATGTGATTTTGGCAGCCCTCCTACAAAATCCATGGAAATGTCAGTCCAGATATTCTGAGGAATAGACAGGGGTTGTAACAACCCGGCTGGTTTTAGAGCTTGATACTTGTTTGTTTGACATGTAGGACATTCATCCACAAACTTCTTTATGTCTTTTCTCATTCCATGCCAATAAAACAAATTAGATATTCTCTTCATTGTTCTAAAGTATCCTGAGTGACCACCAATAGCAGAATCATGATATTCCTTCATAATTCTGATAACTCTAGGAGATTTACTAGGTAAAACTAGTCTCCCTCTGTAATATAATAACCCCTTTATAGTCTGAAACTCCTGATGTTGATCTGGCTGTGATATGATCTGCTGGAGTATTGATTGACATTTGGGGTCTGTAAGTAACTCTTCCTCCAAACCTTCCCATTCCTGTGAAGTGACTATAGAAATTGCATTTAGAGAGGGTCTTCTGGACAATGAATCTGCAGCTCTATTCTCCACTCCAGGTTTATACTTGATAATGAAATTGTAACCCAGTAATTTGGAAGTCCATCTTTGTTGCTCCTCCCCCAACAACCTTTGTTCAGTTAAGAATCTTAAGCTCTTCTGATCTGTATGGACTTCAAAAGTCCTCCCTAACAGGTAGGGTCTCCATTTTTGGACTGCCAAAACAATAGCCATCAGCTCTCTCATAAACTGACCTGTTCTGGTTTCTTTTAGACAATTCCTTACTGATATATGCAATAGGTCGACCTTCCTGCATCAAAACAGCCCCCAGACCTGTACCTGAAGCATCTGTTTCTACAATGAAGACCTTATCAAAATCTGGGGTTGCCAAAACTGGTAGAGTGGTCATCCTGTTCTTTAATTCCTCAAATGCCTTTGTAGCCTCTGTCCCCCACTGGAAGTTGTCTTTCTTTAGAAGCTGTGTTAAAGGTAAAGCAATCTTGCCATAACCTTTTACAAATCGTCTGTAGTAGCCAGTAAGTCCCAGAAATCCCCTCAATCCTTTCACATCCTTAGGTTTTGGCCAATGAATCATAGCCTCTATCTTGGTAGGGTCTGCAGCAACTCCCCTTCCAGATATTATATGGCCCAAGTATACCAGTTCAGATTGCCCAAAAGAACATTTTTTTGAGTTTATAACTAACTGATTCTCCTTCAGTGCAAGTAATACCTTCCTCAAATGTGTTTGATGCTCTTCCCTGGATTTACTATATATGAGAATGTCATAAAAAAAAACCAGGGCAAATTTTCTGAGGAAAGGCCTTAAGACTTGATTCATGAGTGCTTGGAAAGTAGAGGGTGCATTGGTCAAACCAAAGGGCATTACCAAGTACTCATAATGCCCTTCATGAGTTCTGAATGCAGTCTTTTGCCTATCTTCCTCCTTCATTCTTATCTGATGATAACCAGATTTCAAGTCCAATTTGGAAAAAATCATAGCTCCACCTAACTCATCCAATAGTTCTTCAATGATAGGTATAGGGAATTTGTCAGGTACAGTAATCTTGTTCAAAGCCCTATAGTCACCACAGAACCTCCAACCCCCATCCTTCTTCTTAG